AGTTTTAGACTCCAAGCTTTTTTCCAAGATATACAAGGTTTAATTCCCCTGTGCTTCATTCTCAACTCAATATGAGCTCATCACGCCAGCCCTCCGTGTGCATGCGAGGCGCAAGCGCGACATGGCCCTGCGCTGCAGCCTGTGCACACCTCAGCTGACCAGGATACTGTAGGGGGCTTAATAATAGGGTTTTGGGGCCCAGTATGTCACGAACCATGTAGGGATTGAATGCTTTCGGGGGGCAGATTTCCGGTTCGGGCTGGGTGGAGTCGCAAAAGGTTGAGGGTTGGGGCTGCGGGAGTTAGAGGGTTGCAGGGTTTAGGGTTCCTTAAATGGGATTTGGAGGGCTTCAGGGTTCAGGGCTCCTTCAGGGGATGTGGAGGGTTTCAGGGTTTAGGGTGATGATTGTTGACATGTGGGATTCAGCTTCTGAGTGGGGTTTGGAAACCTTTGGTAAAAAAGCCCTAAACCCTAAGCCCTAAGCCCTGTGTCAATGTGTTTCCTGGGTTGATGACACATGCTTTGCCATGGCAGGTGTCACTTGCGTCAATTTCCTCAGTGTCATGGAAGAGGCGCGTATTATCGTAGCCTTCAAGCTGTGCCCGGCAAAGTATTTTAAGTGCTCTAAAGGCGTGGGATTGCTGCTGATATCCACAGTTCCGTTGGGGCTTGCTTCCTGGCGACCTCCCCTAGACCAATGTGGGCATTCCTACTTAGACGCTAAACCCTAAATCTAAACCCTCAACCCTAAGGCCTAAACCCTATTGATTGCATTACAGGCATCCCCAAAGTTTCTCCAGTTGCTTGATGGCGACCTCCCTTTCACATTGACCATTGTCGGCATTCGTACCTAAATCCTAAAAGCCTTGCTCGATGGCGACCTTCCCTAGACCAGTGTCGGTATTCCTACCCATGCCCCTGAGCCGGGCCGTCAAAGCTATTCCTGCTTCCTGCACTGCACAGCCCTTGCGAGAAGTTAAGAAGTCCGAGCTGGGCATGGGGACTGCTTACCTTGTGATGTGTCGCTTCTGGCCCAAGATTTGCATAATTTTGTAGGCCATTCCTACCACCCTCGATTTTCTGCTCCAGCTCTCCTTGTGCAGTTGTGCGTTATGGCACTCGAGCCTACTCGCTACTACATGATCTGCAAGTATCAGCACTTTCATGCGTGGGGCGAGGCTTGTGGAAGGCGCAGAGAGTACTTGATCTTGGAAGAGGGTGGTGCTGTGGGCTTCTATCGGCTGACCAGGAGGAGTTTCAGAGTGCTGGAGTGGCAGGGCACGTGGCAAAGCTATCACAACACTCTCTTGGAGTTCCGTGGCTTTGCATGCTCCCCGTCTGGAAACGTGAATAGGCACGACCTCGACTTCCAGTACAGACGAGGTGTTTGGTCTGCAGTGGATGACAGAGACATCCAGCGAAGGTTCTTGCCACTAATGGTTGTGCACGGAACCAGGACTGAAGTGTCTCGATTGGTCTATGTGCTAGATGACCGCTTTTCCCAGCTGCTTTGAGCGCCTGGCAGCCAGTGGCCCACAGTTCACCGGAATGGAATGTTTTACGTTCCTCTAAGAGGAGCTGCAATTCGCCCTCGTCCAAGAGGGGCCGGAATCAATCCCAAGAGGAGCTGGGATTCGCCTTGTGCTGCGACTTGCTGAGCTGGCGGAAAACTTCTGTGCTTCATGGCGACCTCCCCTGGACGATTGTCAGCATTCTGCCTAAACCCTAAACCTGTTGGCATTCCAGGCATCCCCAAAGTTACTCTAGTTGCGTCAGTGGATTCAGTGACGTGCGACTTCGGCAGGCACATTCCGATCGGGCTTGTCCAGGGGCTGGCGCCTCAATGCGTTCTCCAGGTTGTTGCGAGTGCAGTCGAGTAATGTCACGGTAAAATCTGGCCAGCATGCCCTAACTAACCCATACCCTTGTCTCCAAAATCCACCTGAACCTTAATTGTGTCGGGCTGCCAAGCTAAAAAGCTTGGATATCATATCCATTGTAGCAGTAAGTATGAGGCGAACCCCTAAACGAGATGCCCTTGAACTACGACGCTATCACCTGTTGCAAGCGCATTTCCAAGGACCACCTTTCACAAGCGAGCCCGTAAACCTGACCCCCATTTGATTTAAGTATTAAGCTATCACCTTTCGCAGGCACAGCCCCAAGGACCTAGACCTATCACTGTCACAGGCAAAACCCTATCAACTAGACATTTGTTTACGTACTGAGCTATCCCCTTTCCCAGGCGCACCCCTAAGGATCTACTACTAGACCTATCACTTTTCACAGGCAAAACCCTAAACTAGACACCCGTTAAGTAATAAGCTATCACCTTTCGCAGGCGCAGCCCCAAGAACCTAGACCTATCGCCTTTCAGAGGAGAACCCCTCAACTAGACACCAGTTAAGTACTACGAATCAAAATTCAAAAGCACTCCTACGTACCTGACCTATCTCCTTTCACAGGCGCATCGCTAAACTAGCAGCGGTAAGTTAGGCGTTCAGGATTGAAGACTTGTTTTTGACAGGGGCCTTAGAATGAATGATGGCCACAAATTGGGGGTACCCAGGTAGAAAGAAACCACTTGCAGCCCAAACCAGTCTCGTGCCGAGGTTGCCACAGCCAGCCAGCTGACAGCAGAGAGGCAGCCATTGCAAAGACGTAGAAGGTTTAGTTTTCAAGGGATGACTTTGTGTTGTCCATCAGTTTCGTGCTTGCATTCTTCAGTGTAAACCATATCCACATGAGACTTTCAAGCTCAAAGGTCGCTTCACCCTGTGCGCTTAGATTCTCATGCTTCGACTCGACTGAGCATGCCCTTGGCATGGTTGAAGACTGGCACCTCTGTAGCATCTGAGCATCATATATGATAAACCCTAAGCCGTTCAAACCCTAAAACTAGGAAATGCGTTTGTTTGTGTCTTAGGACCCCGGTCGGACTTGCACTGCTGAATAGTGCCGGCAGGAAGGAGTAGTTAGGTTTGAAAGAGTGCTATATTCTATAAATACTGATTCTGATCATTCTATTACAGAAAGGTTCCCGCAAGCTGCGGGAACTGTTTCCCTGGGGCTTAGAATAGTGAATAGTGTTTCACGTGTTGAATGGAAAATTTATTGTTTTAGCTCCCGATCCTTTACTAAAGCAATTCTGTGTCGTTGTACGAACTTTACAATCGAGGCTTATGCATGCTGAGTCGACAGTGTATGTTGAAGACAAACAGATCAATATATTGCTGTGCCACTGTGCTTATGTTTTGATTATGCACAAAGAACAAGTTCACCGCATTGCGGGGAACCAGTCCGCTAAGATTTACTAATTCTCTAAGCCCTGGCGAAATAGTTCACCGCATTGCGGGGAACCAGTTCTGCAAGGTTTACTAAGTCTTTTACAATAATGAATAGTGTTATCACGTGTTGCATCGAAAATTTACTGTTTCAGCTTCCAATCCTGTACTAAAGCAATTGTGTTTGGTTGTACGATGCACAAAGAACAAGTTCACCGCATTGCGGGGAACCTGTCCTGTAAGGTTTGCTAATTCTCTAAGCCCCGGCGAAATAGTTCACCGCATTGCGGGGAACCAGTTCTGTAATGTTCACTAAGTTTCTTAGAATAGTGAATAATGTTTCACGTGTCGAAAATTTATTGTTTTAGCTTCCGATCCTTTACTAACTAAAACAATTTTGATTGGTTGTACGAACTTTACAATCGAGGCTTATGCATGCTGAGTCGACAATGTATGTTTCAAACAAACCGACCAATACATTGTTGTGCCACTGTACTGTGCTTATGTTTTGATTATGATTATGCATTAAGAACAAGTTCACCGCATTGCGGGGAACCAGTCCTGTAAGGTTTGCCTATTCTCTAAGCCCTGGCGAAATAGTTCACCGCATTGCGGGGAACCAGTTCTGTAATGTTTAATGAGTTTGTTAGAATAGCCAATAATGTTTCACGTGTCGAAAATTTATTGTTTTAGCTCTCGACCCTTTACTAAATCAAACAAACCGACCAATACATTGTTGTGCCACTGTACTGTGCTTATGTTTTGATTATGATTATGCATTAAGAACAAGTTGACCGCATTGCGGGGAACCAGTCCTGTAAGGTTTACTAATTATTTAAGCCTTGGCGAAATAGTTCACCGCATTGCGGGGAACCAGTTCTGTAAGGTTTACTCAGCTTTTAAGCCCAAAGGAAATAATTCCCCGCAGCGCTCCAAGCAAGTGGCTTGCTGCAGGTGCAGTTGTGCGCTTCGACAAGTTCCGCGACACACCATTGCGGGGAACCCGTTTTAGAAGGTTTACCAACAGTCGCATTGCAGAGAACTAAATCGGTAAACTTTGAACCGCATTGCAGGTAACCAGTTCTGTAAGGGTAATGAAGTACGAAAACTTTAGGAAATGGTTTAATGTATTCCGGGGCTAGACGGATTATATAGGATTGTAGAGTATATAGGACATATTCTGGCACGTCAAACCAGTGGCTTTGGCTTCAGTTTGTGATTTAGCACTCTAGGACATATTCTGGCACGTCAAACCAGTGGCTTTGGCTTCAGTTTGTGATTTAGCACTCCTCTGAGGTTTGACTTCTAACGGCGTATTGGTTTGGCCAAAGGATTACTGTACTTACTAGTGTTTCAGCCGTACTTGCAAAACTGCTTGACCCACAGCACAGTGGGCTGGTCTAAACGGCCTTTAAGACAACTTCGGCACAACATTATTGAGTTGGCATCTCTCGTGTAGTATCGTTTGCACAGAAAACCGAAAACCCTGAACAGTAATTAGTAATGCAAGTAAGCACATGCTAAAGGGTTCTGTGCGCACAATCCATCCGCTGCTCCCATTTGCAAGAAAGGGTGCCTGTGCGTGAGCTCTTTTCATGGTATTGATATGTATATATAATAGGTGAAGTTGATGATGTTTGCGCATGCAAAAAAAATTGGTGTGGTGGGGTGGTTTTGACAACACCCGTAAGTTAAGAGAGGTCATTGTCAAGAGTCATGGCGAAGCCTGAGCTGGCTTTGGTTGCGGTGGCTGAGCCTGAGCCGGCTCTAGATCACGAGAAGGCTGAGCTCGAACACCGGAAGCAGGTCCGGGTGAAGCTCCTGGGCCGGTTGCGTAATGATCGCAAGCTCAAGACCATGGTGATCCAGAAAAAGCGCTTCATCCTGGACTGTGGCAGCAAGTCCTGCCAGGGCGACGTCAAGATCAATATGGTTCCTTTGGCTTTTGCTTCAGAGTTTCGGGTTTTGGTGAGGGAACTTAGGGCCGTTACGGTTTTAGGCAGGTGCCTGATATAGGCTTCGCAGGTATGTAAGGCCTAGCCTTAAATGCCATACCAGAATCTGTCCGGGCCTGGAAAACTAGACCCTGGGAGACTTACCCAGGCAGTGCTGAAGCACGTGGCCGTGGCATGGGCCAAGCACCGCTACATTCTCACTTGTCCGAGGATCAAGAGGATTTTGCAGAAGGTCGCCTGGAAGGATTGGCGTGCGCCTGGCCTTGCATTGCCGGATCGTCGTTTGGAAGTTCAGGAGTTTAGGGATTGGGTTCAGCAATCAAGGCTTCTAGGGTTCATACTGAAGTTGGAGGTTCAGGGTTAGTAAGTTAGTATAAATATAAGTTAGGGTACCTTATGTACTGTTGTACACCTGGTGGGGGCTGGCATCAGTCAAGGCAGATGTTTCGGAGGACCAGATCCAGAATGATGCCGCTGCCATCAAGCGCCTGCTTCTTTTCTTCAAGCGTGCCTTGCACTGCAGTTTCAAAGTTTCAGAAGCCTCATTTGCAGTTGGATCTATTTAGTGTTCGATTATGCAGTTCTGCAGCCCGTGACCAGCAGGCCTGGCGGAGCGTTGCGATGAGCACGAGGATTCGCAACTGCAAGAACTCAGAGTGTCTCGACCCATATACTATATAGGGGCCGTTTGTCAACTGTCACCCGCGGCTGACACGCGGTCAAATGCTGAACCCGCATGCCCAGGACCTCATACAGCAAAACATTGATCCCAAGTGCGACATGTCCTTGCCCGTTCTGAGCAACAAGTTCCGCCACCGTGTCCCCTGTGCCAAAGCCGATCATTTTCAAGATCTTGTTCCGCCCCTTTGGCCAGTAATATCAGCTTGCTCTTGTGACTTGTTGCAGTACAAGGCTTTCCTGTCTCAGTCAGGAAACTGCTACTAACGCACCTTGCTTCTATAGGATCCAAGATGAGCCACCGGAAGTACCTTCGAAGAAGCAGAAAGTTTCGAAAACCCTGCGCGATCCAGTCAAGCTCTCGGAGCGAGAGCTTGCGGATCTGAAGAAGAGTCTTGGAGCTGCCTAAGCTTTCTGGAGCGTGATTTATTTTCTTTTCTCCTTGCAACATGTGGAATCTATGTCCTGTGAGCTCAGGATGGTGAACAGCACAGTGTCATATCGTATTGAAGTGCGTTGGGCTGCTCCCAAGCCGTCTGCCTGCGTGCGAGTCCGGAGAAACCAGAAGAGCATGCCCCAGACCCGCAATCAGTGTGAGCACGTCGGAGTCTTGCGTAGTAGTGTCGGAGTCGAGTCGATGTCATGCCCTTGCACGCTCAGCGTTGCACGACGCCTGCTTGCAGCTGTTGAGGTTTTCCATCACGCACGACAGTTTCGAGGTGGTCATCAAAGTCGCGAATTCCGTCGCGTTCTTTTTGGAAACGCATCCAGATCCATCCAAGGATCAAGCAAAGAAGTTGGGCGAGAGGGAGCTCGGCCGACTCACGGTTGTACAGCAGGAATCCGAGAGTCTGTAAGATTCTCAGACTAGGGGCCATGGAATCGGGCATCCACAGTGTCAAGGGGCAAAAGGTTCGAGGTTGTGCTTCTGCACATTCACGCAGCATCTGTCTGTGAAGTCGCTTTCGGTTGCACATGTGAAGGTTCAGCACAGCGCTTGCCAGCACATCGTACTGCTGAGTTGCCCTCTCAAAGTCCAGCGCTGCAAATTTGAAGCCTCACCTTGCGCACTAGCATCATGGAGCGCGTCGGCTACTTTGCAGTGGGGCCCGATGCTCGCATCGAGTCGCTTCCGTCGTCTACGAAAGCCCTATCGTGGCAGCCACTCGAGCTTTCCGCAAGAAGGCGCGCCAGCTACCTGGCGTCAGTGTTTCAGGGGAGGATGGCGCACACTGAGCATCGTGCAATGCAATCACCAAGCAGCCCGCTAAGGTTGAAGGCGGCACTATCAGAACCACGCTTCGTCAGTCGCAAGCGGCAGATTGGGGAACTGGAAGAGCTGCGTGTGCATGAGTCCTATGAGGTCATGAAGGTCACTTTCAAGGACTACCAAAAGGCCTACGAGCGCGAGCTAGTCCAGGATGCGACCGATGCGGGGGCCATGTGCAAGTTGAGCAGCCTGAACATGAGGAGCAACCTGGAGGAATACTTCATGTCCGCGGAGGTCCCTGTAGTTGCGTGCAGATCCTGGGATTGAAGCCTCTTCATTCCTCAATGTTTGCTTGTGCCGAAGTTTGCACTGCCCTCAGGTGCAGAAGTTCAAGCTCATGACGACGATTGATCAGGAGACCATTATCAGTGAAGAACCCCGTCTGGCTTCGTGGACCTTGTATGCCGTGCCGTGCATTGACTTCTCACCGTTGATGGGGACCTTGTGTCTTTCGAAGAGCGAGAGCAAGGAAATCTCCACTCAACCCTGCGAAGAGCTCATGTTTTCCTCCGTGGAGGCAGCCTGCGCCATGGCATGCATCCTGAGCCGGGGCGAGATGAACAGCTTCGGGGTGGAGATGCTCAAGATTGGCGACCCGGACAGGCGCAAGCTTCGACACTTCAGCGCGCGCAAATCACCGATGGCTGAGTTTTGGGCGTCCGATTTGTCAGCAAAGGCAGGGTTATGATCTGAGTTTATTTGTGTAAGATGTTGGGTGAGGGCTTATGATTGTTGGGTTCAGGGTTTACCTACCCGTGTACTGGGAGTGGTCTTTGCAGGAGCGCGGATCGGCCACCGTGAAGGTCCTCCAGGTCACCGTGGCTTGTGATGTGATCCAGTCCACGACTCTGGAGGAGTTTCAGAAGAAGTGGTGCGAGGCATGGTCCCCTTACATCGGCAGCCCCCACTGACTGACCCAACAATTGAGCACCTCAAAACATCACAAGCCCCTACACTGCTCGCCCAACCCGCTCAGGCGACCAAGCGGGACATTCTCAATACCATCGACGAGGACATCACGGGTATTGAAGAGCACCTGATCAAGCTCAAGAAGCGACGAACCGAGGTGAACGAGATGTGTCTGCTGCCACTGCTGCCTCCGAAGGACAACTCTGACTCTGGCAATGCAAAAAGTAGTTGCATCGAACCTTTGCAGTCAGACTGCTGAGTGCAGCCGATCTTTGCCCCCGGCCAGGAGCAATAACTTTTCAGGTTTTAACTAACATGTAAGAAATAGTAGTCCGGAGGCATGTCACTGGCCAGGGCAAGCGCATCGTGTGGGGAGTTTGAAGAAGTCCTGAGTTTTGCGAGACCCAGGCCAGGAGGAGGAGCTAGGATTCACATAAAGGTTGAGAACGGAGGCATCTCACTGGCCAGGGCAATGGCGAAGCGCATGTTTTTGCAACAGTTTCAAGAAGTCCTGCGATTGCGCAGCCGCCCCCGGCCAGGAGGAAGACTTAGGCTTTTATTATCAGCATTCAGAGCGGCTGTAGAATCAATCCGCAGGCATCTCATTGGCCAAGGCAAGCGCAATCCTTTTCATGAGCTCGAATCAGTCCTGCGATTTCTGTGCCCCCGGCCAGGAGACATAGGTCTAAGTTTGAAAGGTTGAGAGTGGCTGCAGTTTCAGTCAGCTAGGACGTATCTCGCTGGCCACGACAAGCACAGTTTTTTGTATCAGTTTCAAGCAGTGCTGCGATTTCGTAGCCCCCGGCTAGCTTGATGTGCTTGGCGTGGGCGCGGAGGGCAAGCTGGTGATCAAGCTATGGTGTCATGTGTCAATTGATCGAGTGTGCATTCCCCAGGACATTTTCATGCACCAGGGCCACGAGGAAGAGTTATAGGCTTTAACAATCAGCCTTCAGAGCGGCTGTAGACTTAGTAAGACTCTGGATGGAGTGGCCAGGGCAAGCGGAGTTTTTTGCATCAGTTTCAAGAAGTCCTGCGATTTCGTAGCCCCCGGCCAGGAGGCAGGGCTAGAGTTCAAAAAGGGTGAGACTGGGTGCAGATTCAACCAGGAAGCATCTCACTGGCCAGGGGAATCCGAAATTAGCGGCGGACTGTGAAAAGCGGGTGCTGTGGGATGTTGCCACATGTGGGGTTATTGCCATCACTATCGTTATCTGATATAATCGAGGAGCGATGGAGTTATGGGTCGGGTAATCCTTTCCAAAATTTAAAAGCACCAAGTCTACACTTCTCAACAATATGGTTTCTCTCAACAAGAAGAACTGAGCCTTAATACCTAAATCTCCAGCCACATCTGAGTTGACCGGTCCGATTCCTGTTACCCCAGCAGCACCGAGGTTCTATCCAGCAATGCTCCTGGAAAGTCATCGGCAGCCGTGGTGGTTTTGAGGAGGTGGCGTCTGCACAAAGTCATGGGTCATTTAAGGTGCTTTAGGTGATTTGAGGTGCCCGCTGAAGGTGATAGGTCTGGAGGGGTTTAGGTTGTTTTCAGGATTCTGCCTATTAGGTTTGGGGGTGTTTTTGTTTTTGAGTTGAAGTTAGGCATTGGGTTCGGCAAGCCGCCGCTAAGGAGCCCAACATTGGATGAACAATACGCATTTACCAGGAAAACTTAAAAAGCCAAGGGTTCTGTGTGGACTTCATGTTCTATCTTTGGGGGCCTTGCCTAGACCCAAGGTTATAACAGCTGCAGCAGGCAATAGGCTTCGGCAGCGAAGCAGTGAGACTTATCTAGTGGGTAGAGGGTTCCGAACCCCAGGTATGGGCCGTCCAGGCCGGACGGCTGATAGTCAGGGTTCCGAACCCCGATGACCCAAGTGGTTTGCAACGGCGATGTATGTACTTTAATGTACAAGCCCAAGATGCCTTTGTGTAGGTTGACGAGACGTAACCCTGCCTAACCCTTGTCCGGCCCGGACGGTGTATACTGCAGGTTCACATACTCATACCGTTGACATTGCTTGCAACTCTGCCCGCGTCAATCCAGCAGCCCTTTGGGGCGTCAGTGTCAGTGTCAGTGGTCGCATAGCGTAGCAGGCCCATACAGCGCCATGACAGCCGTGGTTCATGAGGCAAAGCGTGTTCCCATCAATCTCATTTCACTGGAGGACCGGGTTTTAAGTTTTGGCACAGGGATGAATGAGTTGCTTCTGAGGGCACCCAGTCGCAAACCACCATCAGGAAGACTCCGGATGGCGGCCGCTCGGGCAGGGCCGCACGGACGAGCTGATGTTGGAGATCAGCAAAGGCCAATGGGGCCGATCTAATTTAGCCCCGCCCTCTTTGATGGTGAGTCTCGGAGCTGACGGACTTCGCCCCATTTTCAGTCAAAAGGACGGGTTATGGCGACTCGCGAATGGGAAACACTGCATTCACGCCTGGAACACTTTCATCAAGAACAATGCGCTGGACACGGAGGACTGGGACTTAGGATTAGCGGGACTTTGGGGGATATAGACCCTCTCAATAAGATCTTTTTTAAGAGAGCCAGAACTAGGGTTGAGAAGGGGTACCCTTTCAGAATTTCAGGGGTCGCCCTAATAATACTACTTAAGACTTAACGAGGTGGATGACAGCAAGCTTGATGAGCTTGGTATCGGCGCGGAGGGCAAGCTGGTGATCAAGTTGGGTGTAATGTGTCAATTGGTC